GTTCTCCGGTTCAAGTATTTGGCAAATTCAGCTGCGTTCCGCTTGACTCCATCTTCGTCAAAAGCCGATAGCAAGAACACTTTTGGTTTCTCAACCAAGCTGGTGTATGTGGAGGATGTGACGGTGGGTGATGCACAAAAGCCATCGCTTGTGGGTGTATCCAAAAAGCTGTTCCCAGGCCCAGATTGATCGCTGTCATCGAATGAATCCATCACAGTATCATCTGATTCACTTCCTGATCGTGACAGAGCCAAGAGCCGGCTCTTGATTTTCTGGGCTGTGGGAACAGTAGATGTAGTGCGGTGAGCACCTATAAGATGGCGGTCACTCAGATAGTGATAGGCGTCATCAAGAATGCAGTGGGCGTTAGTACCACCAATTCCAAATGAGTTAACCGACACCCTTCGCAACCCTGTGGATGGCCATGGAAGAGCCTCAGTAGGGAATGCAATGTCCCAGTCCGCTGCAGGAATAGAGGGATTTGTCTGCTTCATATCAAAGTTTGCAGGTATAATCCCAGTCTCAAGGGTTAGAATAGATTTGATGATGCTTGCCACGCCCGAACCACCTTCCAGGTGCCCAATGGAAGACTTGATCGCCCCAACATAAAGCGGACTCTCTCTGTGACATTTGAATGCCCTCGCAAGAGCCCCAGCTTCGATTGGGTCACCGGTGCTTGTTCCCGTGCCATGGGCTTCAACAAATCTGGTTTGTTCGAGATCCAGGCCGGCTCTCCAGTAGACCTCGCGGATTAGTCTTTCCTGCGCGTCTGCACTGGGAACAGTGATTCCTGGAGTGCGGCCATCCTGGTTGACTCCAGTCTCCCGAATAACCGCGCGAATTGTATCTCCATCTCTAATAGCAGCACTCAGAGGCTTTACTACAACTGTGCCCACACCTTCGCCTCGTGCATAGCCTTCGGCACGGGAGTCGAAACTGAAAGACCGCCCTTGAGGTCCTAACAGACCATGGTGGCTCATGCCGATGCTTTCCACGGGATTTTCAAGGATGCTCACACCGCTGACGACAGCCTTGACGGTTATGAATATATTAGCACAAGAATATCAATGTCAACACAGATAGCATACCATGTTCGTCTCTCTAGCACGTAAGCTCTGTACAGCGAGATGCAGTGCCACCAAGCTGCTAGAACAAGCCGTGTCAATGGTCATGCTAGGTCCTTTGAAGTCAAAGAACCAGCTGACACGGTTAGACAGAATGGCATTGGTGACACCTGTGGGCTTGTATTTTAAAGTGGTTTCTGGGTCTGAATTGAGGATACTCAGGTAGTCATGGTTGAATCCACTGACATAGACCGATGTGTTGGATCCAACAGCGCTGGTCAATGGAATCCCTGCATTTTCCAGGGCATGGTAGACATTTTCCAGTACCAATCGCTGCTGTGGATCCAATGTCAAGAGCTCATTCTTCGTGATGTTGAAGAAGGAGCCATCGAAGTAGGCGGGGTCTTCTGAGAGGTAGTGACCTCCTTGGACATGAAACTATATATGGATATCAGTTAGCCGAGTATTCATAGTGATTTTGATTGGTATGGCTCGGATATTACTTACCGTCCCACCATGTTCAGGGTCTGGATGATAGAAGGCATCTGAGTTGAAACGCTCTTTTGGTATCGATGACCACGTCGAGCGGGCCTGTAGGAGAAGCTCCCACAGACTCTCGGTGGTCGTTGCTTGTTGCGGGAAACGAGTGGCTAGGCCAACGATAGCGATTGGTTCCAGAGCATCGGGGGGTATGGTTCTGTCGTTGCTAGGGCCGCTTGCGAGCGAGAGGGGACGCATTTTCTAATACTGATGAGGGATGGGTCGTTGTATCAAAATGACAAGGTTTAGGAGAGATGGAGAGGAGTTGAAGGAGGTGTGAAGAGAAGATATGGAAGAGTAAAGATTGAGGTGACTGAAGACAAAGTTTGAATATAAGATAATTGAGGGTCGCGATGAGATGAGGATTTTGATAGCAAAGACCACTGCGTACCCCCACTCATATATCAACGACGCGGGACCAGGCTAGTAAAACATGTGAGGCTAAGGGAAACGGGATTTGCACGAAGGAGCCGGAAGCACCATTGGAAACCCGAGGTTGGCAGTCTAGCCAGTGGGCACGAGCATTTCTACTGATCTTCGCGAGTTTCCTCTTTTAGTTACGTTCACTAAAAAAGTGGATAGCAGGCTTGGTATATTTGGAATGTCTGGGACTTCTAGGGTTGTTGTTCCTGTATGTACTTTGTTTGTACTTTCAACGGTGAACAGCAAATTTATATAGTCTATAACGATGACTAGCCTCCATGTGGACATATTTTAAAAGGTACGATGTATCCGTGTAGTTATCTTCCAAGTAGAGCTCTTGTTATACGAATATATTCCCAATTGATCAAAAATCTAGAATTTTCAGATGTCGTAGGTTTCCTATGCCTATGGTGGACATCTATAGATATTTCCAGATTCAGACGGCCACATGTATAAACCCACTAAATCCATACTGAACCAACAGGTCGGATGCAAGATCATCGAATCCGAGATGCTGGGCCTGCGGGGAGATGCATTGCCGTTCCTAACCTGCAGCCCAACGTTTGTCGATCGCTGTCGAATTCGGCTTTTAGTTGTTGTTGTTTTTTTTGGTTAAACCAGTAGTGTACTGCTGATTGGCTATGCTGATACCAGGAATACATGTATACAAGCTTCCCATTCGTCCGTTTGCCTTGGAAACTTCCATGGGATATTTAATCTAACAGCTGTCTTATTTTCCCGGTATTACTGCAGATTATCAGCCCCAGTTTAATATGGGCTTATAAACGAATATAGGATCCATTATCATATCGTAGCCCCCTTGTTTATTCAAAGATGTACTGTTAGATGTGAACAAAATAGCAAGATAGGGATAAGTTGATGGATCTATTTACTTGGACTTTGCTTTGACTTCAGCTATAACAACCGCACTAGTAAACATACCCTTGAAAATCTTAAAATATGAAAGTACCAAACATTTAAAGCCTAAAACAGTAAATCAAATGAAGATATTAAATCATAGAAATCACTATAATCCCACACCGCAACCCGCCATAGCCGATATAACTGTGTGGGTCCCCTCAGCCCCCGGGGCGTTACTGGTTAAGGAAGGAGACAACATCAAGCAGCGTGGCCGGAGAACATAATCTCATGATCTAAAAGCTCCACAGCTGTAGGTGTCAAAGGAATCCCCGTAACTTTCTTTGATGCACTATGCACACTACACGCCCCTGCACGGAAAGAGATGCTACAACATCCGCGAATCTACCAAACTCTGGGATATGTCGAGGTAGTTGACCAATTCTTTTCTGGCGGCATGGCCACTAGTACTTCCATATGCGCACGTTCGCAATTCCTACAGTACTATGTATGGCACTATTGCCCCAGAAGGCAGCCAGCAACCTTCCGGCTTGGATTCCGGATCCGCGTGCTCTTTGCCCGTGCCCAAAGTCTGTTTATAGCTGCATCTAGGCGCGGCCTGATCTACCTGGACAGTATGCATTGGCTGGCTTTTCATTTGGTCTATATTGCTCTGTCATAGGTTCATATAGTGGGTTCTCCCAATACTATGGACAGTACATGGTGCACACGCATACGACAACCGGTATATGGGGTACATATGGACATACCAAGATAGGGGCTAGGACTGTGGCTTGGGGTACGGTGCCTGCAAATTATTTTCCGGAAATTCGGCTCCATGAGATGGTACGAACTGTGTATTGTAGTCTAATCTAGTATGCAAGGCTTGTAGATCCTCTAGTAGTTCGTGCGAGGCGTAGTAGCTCTGTTTATCCTTGCCTATATGGCCAGTTGATAGGCTATCTGGTAGGTCAAAGCCCAGGGCTTCGTAGCTGATGTTGGAGAATATTTACTTTGTATAGTTTAGGATGGTGTTTGCGGAGAAATTTCCATCGTTTCAGCCTTGACTTGATGGGTATAACCATGACACAAATTAATTGCACTTTATTTTCATCCCCAGTCCGTTTGGGGTGCTTCTAGGGATTGTATTGGTGAGATAACGACATGTGTTTCTGTTATATCTTACTACCTACATAGATATAGTACCTCTTGACGACGTCCACAAACAAACAGTATACGAGGCATAGAACGAGGTTCGCAGGATAGCCAGTACATAAACCAAGTCAAACAAAATATAATAACAATAAACAGGAATAGCCGCCTATCTCTACCAAACCCAAACAGAGCCCCTACCCGCGAAGTGGATGCTTCTAGGCGTGTTTGCGCATGGACAGGGCACTTCCTATCCGAACCCTCAAACGACACATCGATTAATATCAGTCACATCGAATACGAACATGAAATGACGGTCAAGGAAATAGATTATATGTGTAATTGAAGGCAAAACAAGTCTATTCGCCACAATATCCAACTCTTGTCCCAAACCCCTGCCCTCGTAGGCCTATTCCAGTTAGATCATCGCCGTAGATCTATGTACTGTACGCCCCGTCTTTGTTTACATCCTGCGCCACAAAACCCCATCATGAGAGGTGTATGCATCGCGACCAAACAGGGTTAGGTAGAATCAGAATCAGGAGTTTCATGCGTTGGGCCAGGTCTTCCAGATCGTCGATCTGTATCCGGCATTAAGGTAGCATGTGTGGTATCCTGGTCGCCCCACGTGTGGCAATTAAGGCCACCTGAACGAGTACGGAGAACTCCGTAGGGGGGATTGGGCTCGATATTGAGTCGTGCGTGCCGACAAAGTTCAATTACAATTGCCGGGCGAATTGGACTACCTCCAGTTCTATACAACATCCTCTATTCGAGAAAAGCAGACCACCTTGTAGGATTCAGTCTATTGTATATCATATCCAACATTTCAATACAAGCCAAGGGTCTAATCTAATCCATAGTCTTAAAATGCACGCAAATCAACAGATGCAATCAATATACAATGACCATGAAAAAGCAAAGAGGGAATCAAAAAAATAACAAGGCCTTGAAAAGTAATCATCACAACTCATCCTTATCCTCCGCCGGCGGAGACACAACAGGTCGCCCAGAATCCTTCGCCAAATCAACTCCATTCTTCTTGCGCCACTTCTCCCAAAGAGCATGGAAGTCCTTCTCCATCCCGCTCTCCATCTGATCCGGCAGGATAACAGTATACTCAACAAACAGATTGCCCGCCTCATCATTCTCATCATGGTGATCATGTAAATGACCCTCGGAGTAATGGGGCATACCCTCTCCGGCAATAGTCTCAACAGCCAACGGCTGCACAACCTCACCGCGACCACGTCCAAGACGGACAACATGTCCATCAAGATGTGTGAGATTGCGACTCCAACCACCCATCCACGCCTCGCGCAGCGAAAGAGTCTCCTTCCAGAAAAGATCCTTGCCCTTCCGTCGGAAGAACGTCCCATCGGTCTTCTCCTCCACTTCCACCCCAAGCTCAGGCTCCTTCTCATCCAAAACAACAATCAAATCCCCAGCAATCCAGTCGGGACTCTCATCAGCCTCATTTTCAAAAACAAGCCTAGTCCCCTTGCCCATCCCAGGCTCAATACTAGCACTGGTCTCAACCTGATTCCGAACAACCCGATTTCCCTCACAAACAGGACAAGGATTCTTAATCTTCTTCCCCTGTCCATGACATTTATCACACTGCATCTGCACCTGCTGGAACATCCCAGGCGCAATCATATGTTTCTGAATAACCATACCACGTCCAGAGCACCGATCACAAGTCACAACCTCTCGGTCCTTGGATCCGGTACCCTCACACGAATCACAGATCTGCTGCTTCTCAACAAGGAAGTTGATCTCGCGTCCATTATAGAAATCCCGAAGTGGCAACGCAGCCCGCACTTCCATGTCCGGTCCGCGACGGTGTCCAGGCGCGTGTCCGGAGTGTCCGCCCCCACCGAAGAATCGCGAGAACAGGTCGAATGGGTCGTGGCCGCCGCCGGCTGATCCACCTTTGCGGTGCTGCTCTACCCCGTCGTGGCCGTATTGATCGTAAACTTTGCGCAGCGTGCTAGTCGAGAGTACATCGTAGGCGTCTGCGATTTCGACGAATTTCTCGCGCGCCGTATCGTCGTTGCTATGAGGTAAATTAGCAATTGCGCTGTGTGGGTGCATTGTGCGCCATGTCATGTGCGGCACCACAGGAGATAAATGAAAGCATGGAGAATCAGAAATAAGAAAGTAGTAGCTGCACTCACGGGTTCTTGTCAGGGTGGTATTTCTTGCTTAGTGTTCTGTACGCGCGCTTGATGTCCCTCTCCGATGCGGACTTCGCAAGTCCAAGCACCTTGTAGTAATCCTCGGCGGCGATTACAACGACGGAGAATAGCACCACGGCTATCGCGACTAGGAGTCGTAATAATTGCATTTCGGCGGTGCGGAGCTGCGCGAGCAGCTGCTCGTGCGCTCGGAGGTGATGTGGAGCTTTTGTGTTTGTGTAGACTGGGGTATGTAGATGAAGCTTCGACTAGCTAGGGTTTTGGGTTTGGTGTGATGTTTAATTATTGAACGTGGAATATGTAATTAGTAGAACAGGTGTTCTTCTCCGAGCTTTATGCCACAGAGTAAAAAAGTAAAGAATTAAAGATTGCAGGTGTTAGCTCCACGGCCTAGATCTACATTAGGTGGCCTAAAAGAGGAACAATGTTTAGCCGGGTCACGTGGAAGTATGTCTACAGCTCAGGATTAGGATTACTTGGGAACAAGCAATAAACAATGAGTATTATAGAGCAAAAAGATAGATTTTGATACAGAACTAGTATTTACCATCGGAGAACATCATCAAAGAAGGCTTTATTTATTTGTGGTGCAGCTTTGTGTGGTACATCCTTTATTATATCGTTTAATTCTATAGATATATATCATGTTGAAAATCCAATCTGCCGTGCAAGTTGGCGAAGTCATCACACCACATAAGAGTAACAATTAAAGTATAATGGTTCATTTCTCCAGGAGCTATCATAATCAACACATAAAGATGGGCTTTTCATAATTCTGCTCGGGTGCGTTCAAACTCGGTCACCGTCTTCCTGAATAACTCTCCAGGTTTTGGTAGGCCAGACTGATGCTGCCACCAAAGGCAAGAGACGCTCGTTCCATTTACATCAGATGTGTAAATGTATCGGCCTTTCGGCCCATATACGCAACCTGAAGACCAGTCTTGTCTCTGCTATACCCTATTTCAATGAAAAAAATTCCTAGCCCCATAGTATCCGCTTTACACCCTAAATTAGGAGGCATAGGTGCGTAATATTTATCTTTCTTATTCTCTTATTCTCTGAACATGTTGTACAAATGCACATCTACGGCGAAAAATTCTTATATCTCTATAGGGGTGGAAGGGAAACTATAAGTATGACTTATGGGATGAAGAGATTAGACAGTTCCACAATTCGTTTTTATACTACAAGTGTTCCTTTTGCGGAAGACTTCAAATCAAAGATTTACATGCTGCTTAGTCTACTACTTGGTATATTATTCAACCAAAAATCAATTGTTATCCACATACATAAAACCATCGGTTCTCCTCTCAGGCACTGAGGTGTAGATACATAATAACCAGAACACCACACGTAACTTCTGATTATGATCGAATCCGAGTAATAATGAAAATCTAGATCCTCTACTACCTTTTGGCTAATGAGGTCCCTTATCCCTCAAATCAAAAGCAAGAAAAGCAAGAAAAGCAAAGAAAAGCATAGCACCGATAGCCATGTTGCTATCCCTGACATCAGACTCAAACTCACCCAGAAGAAATAGGTATAGAAGCCTAAAAGTCGAATCTCGTGCTGGGACTTTTACATTTCGTTCATCCCAATCGTTCTTGCCATTCCGAAGGTCATCCATGATAGAGCGGATATTCCGTCTTGATAAGACATCAACACAGAGAAATTCGAGTGTTTCGCAAAGAAGACGGTAATCACTAAGCTGGGTTGACATCCGGTGAGAAAATACTGAAAACCATCATTGATTCCTTTGTTAATTATATGGAAAAAGGGGATCTCGTCGTGTGTGGGTAACTGGGTTGAATCTTGACCGGAGAACCGTTGGAACCCGAGATATGAATCAAAATAGGGCATTTTCGTCACATCGATGGCGTATTCGATGCCTCCGATTCGGATATGAATGGTGGAGCCATCTCTCGCTTGCTATCTTTGTTGTATTGTTGCCTACCATATGATCAGCCCATAATCATCAGATCGATGATTGATTTTCTGGTGCTATACCTCTATATGGTCTGACAAGAAACTCTAATATAGTGGATATAGTGGATGTTGTTGATGTTGATTTCTGAAGAGGGTCATATCTGGACTAGCGGGAGATAGGATAACCTTGGAAAGTTGGAGAGTATTCATTGCCACGCAGCTATCTCTATATAGCTTCATGGAAACAAAGAATGATATTTAGAATAAGGAGGAAAGAGAGGTCGGATAGACACTGTCTGAGCAAATAGAAAACATCGCCCTCGAATAATCTGAAGAGCTGGGGGTTTTGCTAAAGGGATTCCAAAAAGGGTTATATTTCCTAACTGGGTAGAAGATCCATACTTGTGTTATACCAACTCAACAGCATTATTAGACTCTATTAGGGCCCTTAATTTAGTAGATCATTCCACGCTTAAACAGAAGTAAATGGAAGAAAAAGGTGAGCATAAAACGGAAAATGAAAGCCATCAAGCACGGACTGACTTTCGCTGGTATGGTCGGATTCATCATAAAATCATAGAAACGCTGCTAACAAAGTAGAGTAACTCATCAAAACCACACTTCTAGCTAAGTAGAGCATTATTGTAACTTCCCAAACACCTAAATCAAATAAGAAATGCAATCAGTGTCGCCCAGCAACATTAAAGATATCATTATGCCAGGTGTGACCAAGCCCATGCGTCTCATCTCCATCCTCAATAGCCTCCTGAGCACGTGTAGCCTCCTCATGCCAAGTCTTGACAGTACTACCGGGAGCATAAACACCCTTAAAGACACCTTTACCCAGCGGCTCAAGACCAATCCTAGTCTCGACATCCGAGTCTGCGGGTTTAAGGCGGGCGAGAACAGCCCGCACAAAAGTCGCCAGGTCCTGTGGGTTAGCGATGCGCGCAGCACGCAGCCGTTCACGGGCAAAGACTAGCTCGCGATTCAATGCGAACGTCGCTGCAACAATCTCCTCTGCGATCTTCTTCTCCAGCACGCGTCGGACAAGGTGTTTCAGGAATGGCTTGGTCAGCCAGAGGAGGAATCTCCACTTGCTGCGCTTGACGGTGTAGTCGAGTTTGTGGATACAGACGCGAACGCCGCGCAAAGAGAAGATCTGCTCTAGCCTGCCGCGGCCGACTTCGATGTCTAGCGAGATGTCGATACCACGGCGGTCGAGGTAGAAGCTTGCTATGCCTTCGTCCTTCAGGTGGAAAAAGCCTGTGTGGGTACGGAACCAGTAGCCAAAGTCTTCGGCGCTGATGTTTAGACCTTGGACGGTGACTGTGAAGGCTGTTTTCATGAGGGTTTCTGTGCGCTTCGAGTGGGTTTTTACCACGTCGATGTCATTGCGTGTGAGGATATGCATGCGGTAGGGGAGGAAGGAAGAAAAGTTTACTGTGTGGCCGGGTTCAAGAATTAGGTTCTCCAGGAGAAGATCCATCTCTGGAGCAGAGATCTCCAGGCGGGGGATGGGGATGTACTGGATTGTTCGGAGGAGGACTGGGAAGAAGACGTTTACCAAGTCTGCTGGGAGGTCGGCCTTCTTGTCGTTATAGGCGCCCCAGGCGTCCTGGTAGACCTTCTTAGTGGCATTGATTAACTTGGAGACGGCTGGGTCTTCCGGCACAGTTCTAATTGTGCGTTTGGTCTGTGCTAGGAAATCGTCCACATCCTTTCGCAGGGTCGTCTCCGAGCCTACTTTGTCGGAGTGTTGTTTGAGTTCATCGAGCTTTTGTGGTGCCGAGTCGAAGAACTCGGGGTTGATGAGCATGTCCTGCAACGAAGTTCCGACCTCTCCGAGTAGATCATCAAACTCAGGATCTTTGTTTGCATGGCGCAAGACATTGTGGAACTTCTCCTGCAGCCGATCCCACTCTTCTGCGCTGCCAAATGACCGCAAGAGAATCCAGAATTCGTCGACCGCCCGTTTCAGGTCAGCATTGACTTCCAGGTCTTCTTGAGCGACCGAGGCAGTATTCTCTGCAACATTCGCGTAGATCTTAGCGTAGCGTGCTACCAATTGAGCCAGTGTTGCCACCGAGTCAGAGTAATCCGTCCTCTCCCGAAGCCGTTGAACTGCCTGCTTCAGCCGAAACAGCAATGTATCTCTCTCTCGGCCGGAAAGGTGCTCTTTAGCGCTCTGCACGGCATCATGACTTGTCTGAGCGATCCCTTCCCCGGCCACATCCGCAACATGTGCAACATCCTCGTTCACCTCGGCCTTTGATCGTGCATGCCCCTCATCTGCACCTGCACCCTGTAGCGCCTGCTCTTCTTCCTCGGACGGTTTGACTTGTTCGGCAACTCGCTTGGAAGATTCAGCGAGGGAGGCAGCGGTATCCGCAAAGATTTGGCGGCCAACGGTCACGATGTCATCGACGAAAAGACGGAAATCGGCGTTAGTCAAAAGTAGACTACCGACGGTGCGGAAGCTATCATATGCTAGGTGCAGGGATTAGCGAACGGTCATCATCTTGTGATTTGCATGTGCCAAGCCCGAAAAAGCTGGGGAGTGGAAATGCGCGACCCACCAGCTTTAGTATCTGCCCGCGCCTTCACGTGGGCGGCCTGTCTGGAAACCCTCTCGTTATCCACCTCGACGCGTGAACGGGCCAGGCGCCACAGAAATTCCTGGAGCTGGTCTTGGCTGTTCTTCTGTTGCAGAAATTCGATGAAGACCTGGATCCACAGTCGACTGTCCCGCACTAGCTGGCGACCGACACTGCCGATATCCTGATTACGTAGATTGAGCACATCCGAGGCTAAGAGGGTGCGTAGGTTGGCGATGGTTTGTTCAGTTGTAGGCATGTACCCCTCGGAGATGGCGCGGACCATCTGGTAGCTATGTAGCTTTTGATGAAGTTGTCGCTGACGGGAGGTGTCATCCTCATAGCGAGGGAGGAGGGGTTCAGTCTCGGAGGGCATATTGAATAAGGCCCTGGACAGTGTGCGATAACCGTTACCTAGTTACGTTTGGAGATGAAGCTAAAGGTTGAAGTTCGAGGGGGAGGAGTTAAGCTCGGGAACCTGTTTTGGGCACATGACGACACCTCACTCGTACGGTGCAACATAAATGTTTGCTTTCGCTATTTGCTATTTACATAAGTATATCCAAGAGAGAATATTTCTTGAATATGATTACCATCAATTAAGAAATTATTAAGAGATATGAAGA